ACTCACCTATTTGTACTCTTCAATTTGTGCTTACGGGGGTTGAGCTCTGGCTCTTTCGTCCCGCCTCTCAACTGTCAATCAACTGTTACTAACTGCTATTTTTTTTATCCATACACACACACACCCAGGAAGCAGCTCCGTAACAGCTGTCTAACTCCCAGGTACCAATTTACTACTGGTAACAGGGGCATAAGGTTGAAAGAAACTGTCCATTTGTCTCTGCTGGCGCCGGGAATTGAACCCGGGCCACTGGATTACGAGTTCTACGCGCTGTCCGCTCAGTTACCAGGCCCTCCCCCCCCCCCCCCCACACACACACATACACAATATAGACTCATTTCTCTCAATGTTTGCTGATGACGCAAAAATTATGAGGAGGATTGAAACAGAGGATGATAATAGGAGGCTACAAGATGACCTGGACAGATTGAATGAATGGTCCAACAAATGGCTGCTCAAGTTCAACCCGAGTAAATGCAAAGTAATGAAACTAGGCAGTGGAAACAGAAGGCCAGACACAGGATACAGAATAGGAGATGAAGTACTTCATGAAACGAACAGAGAGAAAGATCTAGGAGTTGATATCACACCAAACCTGTCTCCTGAAGCCCACATAAAAAGAATAACGTCTGCGGCATATGCGAGGCTGGCTAACATCAGAACAGCCTTCAGGAACCTGTGTAAGGAATCATTCAGAATCTTGTATACCACATATGTAAGACCAATCCTGGAGTATGCGGCCCCAGCATGGAGCCCGTACCTTGTCAAGCACAAGACGAAGCTGGAAAAAGTTCAGAGGTATGGCACTAGACTAGTCCCAGAACTAAGAGGCATGAGTTACGAGGAAAGACTGCGGGAAATGCACCTTACGACACTGGATGACAGGGTAGACAAAGATAAACTGTTTAACACGGGTGGTACGCGAACAAGGGGACACAGGTGGAGACTGATTACAAAAATGAGCCACAGAGACGTTAGAAAGAACTTTTTCAGTGTCAGAGTAGTTAACAGATGGAATGCATTAGGCAGTGATGTGGTGGAGGCTGACTCCATACACAGTTTCAAATGTAGATATGATAGAGCCCAGTAGGCTCAGGAATCTGTACACCAGTTGATTGACGGTTGAAAGGCAGGACCAAAGAGCCAAAGCTCAACCCCCGCAAGCACAACTAGGTGATTACAATTAGGCGAGTACACACACACTACCAGTGTGTGTGTGTGTGTGTGTGTTGCCAGGTGTGGGGGCGGGAGCACCGCACCATAAAGGATCATCGTTGCTAACATTACCAAGTAAGGCGGCCAATACCACCATATAGGGTGAGGGCGGGTCCCGGCAGCAGCTGGGTGAGAGGACCCGAGCACAGAGGCACTCACTGCTGGTAGCCTCTTGCTCGCCGGCCACCACCATCACCACCACCACCATGTTGCCTGGCGCTACACGCTTCCCACTCTTACAGCGTGACGCAGTGTGCATGTAAACACACCAGGAACACCACCTTGACTGGTTTCGGAAGGTTTCGTAGTCCTGGTCGGTTGTCCCAGCACGACTCTGGCGTGACTCTGACCGAGTGACTGGTTCTTCATGCTCCACCTGACACCCCCAGGCGGCCAGTGCTCGCCGCTCCACCAAACACCTGTCCTCCACACAGTGAATTTGAGTCGGAGATACGCCGGCGAGAGTGAGCTAGGTGATATGGATGACAGTGCCAGCACCAGGCGTCGAACCCTGCTAGGAGATCATCTGAGACCTACGACACTTGTTGATGAGGACACCCCGGCGCACGGCCACTCAGAGGCCAGCTAGTCACCCCGGCAACACACCAAAGGGTGTGTTGCCGTGGTGACTGGCAACATTGCTTGGCTTCACTCGTTCAGTGTTGTACACTATGGCCATCAACCTACACTAGGGTTGCCAGGGGCGTCAACCACCACCGCCAGGAGTGTTGTCCCTCGCCCACCACCTAGACAAGCACAAGTGCCTCTCACCCCCCCCCCCCCACTCTCCTCTCCCCTCCAAGACCAGCAAGAAGGGGGGGCACGTCTGGGGTCCCCCTGGGGACCCCCTGAGGTCCCCCTGGGGGTCCCTGGGTCCCCCTGGAGCCCCCTGGGGTCCCCTGGGGGTCTCCACCTCCCGAGGGCGTCCTCCGCGCTACCATGTGAGGCACCAATATTTTTGGCGGGAGAAACGGCATGTGCACCGTCACTCCCAGGTGGGCGGCGTGGGCGTCTCTACTGCCACACACACACACACACACACACACACACACACACACATTAATATAGACGTGTTAGAAAGAATTTTTTTAGTGTCAGAGTAGTTGATAAATGGAACGCACTAGGAAGTGATGTGGTGGAGGCTGACTCCATACACAGCTTCAAGTGTAGATATGATAGAGCCCAATAGGCTCAGTAACCTGTACACTAGTTTATTGACAGTTGAGAGGCGGGACCAATGAGCCAGAGCTCAACCCCCGCAAGCACAACTAGGTAAGTACAACTAGGTAAGTACACACACACACACACAGAGTACCCAGTACAGAGTACACAGTACAGAGTACTGTGTACAGTACACAGTACAGAGAGTACAGAGTACAGAGTACACAGTACAGAGTACTGTGTACAGTACAGAGTACAGAGAGTACAGCGAGTACAGAGTACACTTAATACCCAGATGAGCCACAGAGACGTTAGAAAGACTTTTTTCAGTGTCAGAGTAGTTAATAAATGGAGCGCACTAAGAAGTGATGTGGTGGAGGCTGACTCCATACACAGTTTCAAATATAGGTATGATAGAGCCCAGTAGGCTCAGGAACCTGTACACCAGTTGATTGACGGTTGAGAGGCGGGACCAAGAGACAAAGCTCAACCCTCGCAAGCACAACTAGGTGAACTAGGTGAGTACACACATCCAAGGGAATAGGCGGGATCCAAGAGTCAATGCTCGATCCTGCAAGCACAAATAGGTGAGTACACACACACAAGATGAAGGAATTAAACTACCTTTTCGAAACGACCAGAGAAAAATACTAGGATTGGATATAACACTAAGCCTAACTCCTGAGGCCTAAATAAATATAATGGCGTCGGGAGAACACTACAATGGCAAAGGTCAGAACATCACTCAGGAAACTAAATAAGGAGACATTTAGATCACTGTACACAACCTACGTGAGACCAGTTTTAGAGTATGCAGCACCATGGTGGAACCCTTTTCTTATAAACAACACAAGAAAACTTGAAAAGGTACAAAGGTTTGCAATAAGGCGGCTTGTCGCAGAAGTCCGAGGGATGAAGTATGAAGAAAAACTAATACACCTGAACCTAACATCACTAGACAAGAGAGAGGACATGATAGAGACGTACAAATTACTTAGGGGGATTGACAGAGTAGGAAAAAAAGATGAACATAACGAATACCAATAATAAAAGGGGGCATGGGTGGAGACTAGAGAAACAGAAGAACCAGAGAAGTGTTCTCTTAGCGTATTATGATATTCTCATTTTGCCCCCAAAATTTACCAGTGCAGACTTGTGATCACATGCCTGTGTATGACTAACCATCCTGTGTGACGGGGAGTATAGCATCGCGGAGCTAGCTTTATGACACACTGCACTCCCCTTCATATAGTCTAGGACACCTGCACAAATGCACATGTACCTAAACGTGCCAATACAAAAAAAAAATAATAATAATCCAGACGTTCTTAATAATACATTTACTGAGAGAAAGGGACGTGGGGATGAAGAGGGGACAAAGGTGGTAGAGTAGAGGGAGGGGGGGAAATGCAGCGAGGCGGAGGAAAAAGAGGGGAGATGAAACCCATACATCTCCCTCGTTCCCCCTCCCATTGGTCCCCCAATAGAAGGAGGGCAGACTGGGAGATGGGAGAAAATACATAGTGTCCCGAGCACCGCCGGGTACCCGCCGAGTATTATATAATATAAATAAATGATGAGAGAGCCAAGTTGGTTGGTTGTGGGAGGACGAGGTGAGGCTGGTGAGCCCCCGCACCGCTGGTGTGGGCTTGGAGAGCTCTCTGCTCTTAAGGATATAATATCCATCTATGAGTGAGTCTGCTGGCACGACTAGTTAGACGTGTCACGTGTCTATGATAGTTTATGTTTACATCAAGTTGATGATAACATGTCTTCACTGTTCACTGTAGACGTTGTGTAGGTAAAGTGGTGTGGGTGTAGGCATGTGGGTGTTCACTCTCCCGGCTGTGTACTCACCTATTTGTACTCACCTATTTGTGCTTGCTGGGGTTGAGCTTTGGCTCTTTGGTCCCGCCTCTCAACTGTCAATCAACTGGTAGATTGGGTGTAGTGGGTGATTGGGTAGCGATTGAGTAGTGGGTGTACGCATGTGGGTGTTCACTCTCCCGGCCGTGTGGGTATAGGCATGTGGGTGTTCACTCTCCCGGCCGTGTAGGTGGTGGCCACGGGGTCCTCACTACAAGCTTACCGTCAACTGACGGTAAATCCATAGATAACATTAACTTTTCATTATTACCAAAATATCGAAATTTAAATATAGCATACTGACTGTGGCCTCGGTAAACACAGCAAGCATTTGTTATCATTCGTAAAAAGCTGCTTAAACCCGGAAAATCATGAGATTAATGGACAAGGACTGGGACGGGTGGGACGGGGGGGGGGGGGGAAGGAACCGGAGCAGCATGAGTGAAGACGCGGGACTTGAAGTACAAGGAACTGCTGGAGCAAACTATAAGTATGGCCACATGATTCTAAACTGTCCCTCAGACAGGAGAAACAACTAAGTGTGACCTGGTCACTTGAAGGAGTGCACAGTCCAACTCCAAGTGTCTCATGTGTGTAGAAGATGACACCATACTACCAACCCAACGACCAGTGAGGCAGCTTCTCTAACAAGGCGCCAAGCTACAGCAAGTAAACAAGTAAACATCACAAACATCTGTGCTTGGAAACAATGACAAACACACCAGACAAAGACGAGAAAGAATCCAACAAGTACAGCTATGAAGGTAAAGGTGGACCTACCAACCCGACCAGCGTGCTCAGCGCCCGACCAGCGTGCTCAGCGCCCGACCAGCGTGCTCACCGCCCGACCAGCGTGCTCAGCGCCCGACCAGCGTGCTCAGCGCCCGACCAGCGTGCTCAGCGCCCGACCAGCGTGCTCAGCGCCCGACCAGCGTGCTCACCGCCCGACCAGCGTGCTCAGCGCCCGACCAGCGTGCTCAGCGCCCGACCAGCGTGCTCAGCGCCCGACCAGCGTGCTCAGCGCCCGACCAGCGTGCTCAGCGCCCGACCAGCGTGCTCAGCACCCGACCAGCGTGCTCAGCACCCGACCAGCGTGCTCAGCACCCGACCAGCGTGCTCAGCACCCGACCAGCGTGCTCAGCACCCGACCAGCGTGCTCAGCGCCCGACCAGCGTGCTCAGCGCCCGACCAGCGTGCTCAGCGCCCGACCAGCGTGCTCAGCGCCCGACCAGCGTGCTCAGCGCCCGACCAGCGTGCTCAGCGCCCGACCAGCGTGCTCAGCACCCGACCAGCGTGCTCAGCGCCCGACCAGCGTGCTCAGCACCCGACCAGCGTGCTCAGCACCCGACCAGCGTGCTCAGCACCCGACCAGCGTGCTCAGCGCCCAACCAGCGTGCTCAGCGCCCGACCAGCGTGCTCAGCGCCCGACCAGCGTGCTCAGCGCCCGACCAGCGTGCTCAGCGCCCGACCAGCGTGCTCAGCGCCCGACCAGCGTGCTCATCGCCCGACCAGCGTGCTCAGCACCCGACCAGCGTGCTCACCATCCGACCAGCGTGCTCACCACCCGACCAGCGTGCTCAGCGCCCGACCAGCGTGCTCAGCGCCCGACCAGCGTGCTCATCGCCCGACCAGCGTGCTCACCACCCGACCAGCGTGCTCAGCACCCGACCAGCGTGCTCAGCACCCGACCAGCGTGCTCAGCACCCGACCAGCGTGCTCAGCACCCGACCAGCGTGCTCACCACCCGACCAGCGTGCTCAGCACCCGACCAGCGTGCTCAGCACCCGACCAGCGTGCTCACCACCCGACCAGCGTGCTCACCACCCGACCAGCGTGCTCAGCACCCGACCAGCGTGCTCAGCGCCCGACCAGCGTGCTCATCGCCCGACCAGCGTGCTCAGCACCCGACCAGCGTGCTCAGCACCCGACCAGCGTGCTCAGCACCCGACCAGCGTGCTCAGCACCCGACCAGCGTGCTCAGCACCCGACCAGCGTGCTCAGCACCCGACCAGCGTGCTCAGCACCCGACCAGCGTGCTCAGCACCCGACCAGCGTGCTCAGCACCCGACCAGCGTGCTCAGCACCCGAACTTCCTGAAATAAATTTCCCAGGCGATGTTTCCTCAGCTGACATCAGGAAAGTCCCGACAGCCGACCACATTAACCGCACACACCTGCACCCGGCACCACACACCTGCACCTGGCATCACACACCTGCACCTGGCACCATCTCCCCCACACACTGTACCTGGCACCATCTCCCCCACACACCCGCACCTGGCACCATCTCCCCCACACACCTGCACCTTGCACCACTCACCTGGCACCATCTCCCCCACACACCTGCACCTGGCACCATCTTCCCCACACACCTGCACCTGGCACCATCTCCCCCATACACTTGCACCTGGCACCATCTGCCCCACACACCTGCACCTGGCACCATCTGCCCCACACACTTGCACCTGGCACCATCTGCCCCACACACCTGCACCTGGCACCATCTCCCCCACACACCTGTACCTGGCACCATCTCCCCCACACACCTGCTCCTGGCACCATCTCCCCCACACACCTGCTCCTGGCACCATCTCCCCCACACACCTGCTCCTGGCACCATCTCCCCCACACACCTGCACCTGGCACCATCTCCCCCACACACCTGCACCTGGCACCATCTCCCCCACACACCTGCACCTGGCACCATCTCCCCCATACACTTGCACCTGGCACCATCTGCCCCACACACCTGCACCTGGCACCATCTCCCCCACACACCTGCACCTGGCACCATCTCCCCCACACACAGATTTTCTCTCAGGAATCTGTACACCTGTTGATTGACGGTTGAGAGGCGGGACCAAAGAGCCAGAGCTCAACCCCCGCAAACACAACTAGGTGAGTACACACCTGCACCTGGCACCATCTCCCCCACACACCTGCACCTGGCACCATCTCCCCCACACACCTGCACCTGGCACCATCTCCCCCACACACACCTGCACCTGGCACCATCTCCCCCACACACACCTGCACCTGGCACCATCTCCCCCACACACCTGCACCAGGCACCATCTCCCCCACACACCTGCACCTGGCACCATCTCCCCCCCACACACCTGCACCTGGCACCATCTCCCCCACACACCTGCACCTGGCACCATCTCCCACACACACCTGCACCTGGCACCATCTCTCGTCAACAGCACGAAACATCCAGTGCCAATGGTTGCACTACAACAACAACAACAACAACAACACAGTAAACAAATGGAGCCACCAACAGTAATGGTTCTCACACATGACCCCATTAATGCCATCTGCTAAGGGGTGCTGGGTGCATTTAACAGCCATTAACCGGTAAGGAATAATTAGATCCTGCATTTAATTGTCATAACATTGACAATTCGTGTGTAGTTCTACTCCCAATTATCCCTCTTATCCGCTACAAGGGTGTACTGTGGAGTGTATTGTTGGTATGTAAACTTTGTTGGGAAGAGTGATTGTTAATGTTAACATTGTAGGAAGTTCATAGTTCACAGTTCGTAACATTGTAGTTCGTTAACAACCTTCAGACAAAGGTTGCCACGAACGTTACAATTCTCTAGTGAGTTCCATCTGACGTTACAATGGTGGCAGCGGTGGGATGATCTACTGAGATGACACAATTCAAAAAATAAAAATTATCTTGACACTCTGCAATCACCAGCCATAGATGTGATGGCCGCCGACCCCTGTGTCGGACACAGACCCGCTGCCGTGGCACTCTCCGAACTCACACTAACTCAGCCTATGTCAGCCGACCTTGTATATAGGGCCATCAACCAGATGGTGTGTGTGTGGGGGGGGGCGGAGGGAGAGGGGAAGTGAAGACTGGTAAGTGGTCCTTCAGGACCTCTGTACGGGTCAATAGGTTGGGCAGGTCGACCTGTAACCAAGTCGACTCATGACCAGGCCACCTGTACTAGTTGTGCCCCACTACCCATTGCCATTATCTACAACAAGACCATATATCTTGTAGATATAAGTCCAGTAAGTTCAGTAGAACTTCGGTTTCAACTCTTTTTTACCCTGTCGTAGCTCAGTCGATTAAGGCAGTGTCTGGGATGCTCCCGGACGCAGGTTCGAATCCTCGTCACGGCCCTTGTGGATTTTTTCATATATCTTGTAGAATTTTGTTCCATTAATCTAGTACTCTTGAGACGGGGAAGAAGATGCTACTCAAAACAGTCTTGTACCAAGGAACATCAAGAGGTCACATTCAGGTTCACAATTATTTTATTGAATCATTTTAAGGAGTAGAAAGAATTATTTGATGAAGCCAATTAGTAAACCCACTTGTTCATAACCTGTGTCCTTTATGTAGTGGATTGATATACTTCTTAACAGGTTAAATTTGGAGTACTTTCCCCTGAGGGCCGGGCCTCCTCACCCCTTGCTGAAGGTGAGAGAGGTCACGCTCTTGACCTTTAGACAGGGTGGAGGTTATCTTGAGATTCTTCTTCTTGAGATGTTTTCGGGGCTTAGCGTCCCTGCGGCCCGGTTCTCGACCAGACCTCCTTTTTGTTACACACCCAGAGGAAGCAGTCCGTAGCAACTATCTAACTCCCAGGTACCTATTTACTGGTACGTAACAGAGGCATCAGGGTGAAAGAAACTCTGCCCATTTGTTAAACCAAACACTTTTACAGTGTTACACACCTGTGCTCTTCAACGGGGGCATTCTGCACATCCTGCCATGCCTCCTGGTCTCATGTGATGTTATTTCTGTATTCAGATTTGGAACCAATCTCTCTAATATCTTCCACGTGTAGATTATTATGCATCTCTCTCGCCTGCGCTCTTGAGAATACAGATTTTGAAATCTTAATCAGTCTCAATAATTAAGATGACTTATAGAATGGATTCCAGCGGTAAAGGATCTTTGCACACTCTCCAGGTCAGCAACTTCTCCGGCTCTGAATGGGGCTGTTAGTGCAACAATATTCCACCCCAGAGAGCACTTGTGTCTTATATAGTATTATCATTGGTATGGCATCCATCCCTTGTTTGGAAGGTTCTTGTTATCCAACCTGTCATATTTCTCGCAGTCGTGACAGCTACTTTATTGTGTTCTGTAAAGGTAAAGTCTTCTGACGTGATTACCCATAGATCCTTTACATTGCTTTTTCGTTCTATAGTGTGATTTTTATTCCGTTTTATATATATGGTTTTATACGGTACATGAGAAACCATACATAAGTCAAGGAGCATCAGAATACATGATACATGTGGACGACACAAGTGGACTACTGTGCCACCCTGGACACATGTGGACGACACAAGTGGACTACTGTGCCACCCTGGACACATGTGGACGACACAAGTGGACTACTGTGCCACCCTGGACACATGTGGACGACACAAGTGGACTACTGTGCCACCCTGGACACATGTGGACGACACAAGTGGACTACTGTGCCACCCTGGACACATGTGGACGACACAAGTGGACTACTGTGCCACCCTGGACACATGTGGACGACACAAGTGGACTACTGTGCCACCCTGGACACATGTGGACGACACAAGTGGACTACTGTGCCACCCTGGACACATGTGGACGACACAAGTGGACTACTGTGCCACCCTGGACACATGTGGACGACACAAGTGGACTACTGTGCCACCCTGGACAAGCACAGACACACCAACACCCAAGGCGGCAACATAACGCATAAACGACTCTGAAAAAAGCATTGGAAAATAAGCATTAACAAACAAAGGTTCTCTCAGAATGTTTGGTAACAGGTTCATTGTTTGTGATGTGTGTCTATGTATGTACTAACACGATGTACTGAACGGGGTGAGAATAGCTTGAGCTACCTCATCCCTTTGTGTGTATTTTACCTCAATAAACTTATTTCAATTTCAATTTCAATTTCAACAAAGGTTCTAAATAAAACACATTGCTAAAGCAAACTCAGAACCCGCATCAACTTGAGGCAAAGTAAGAACAGTCTATAACCTTAGCATGAACAGACAGCTACATTTATACATAGATTTCATCCGGTGACATCTTGAATATCCTCCAGTACCATTACATACCTTTAAAGACACATTCAAAACTAAAAAGAAATACAAAACACGGTACTAAGCAGAGGTGAGAAAACACCGTCCACCATATATGATGGAACACTCCAGGAGCACCAAAGCACTACAGCACCAAGCCACTAGGGTGTGCAGCACCATCGAAATGTTAGAACCCAATGCTGGGAAGATTACTCAAAGATGAGACCTGGAGTACGGTTGGTGGCCCAAAAGCCTCAGACCAAGTCACACAATACATTAGTCTAGCTAAAATGTTGACCAGAAAATGCAAAAAAAAAAACAGAAACATATGAATGCTGGAATTGGACCATGGGAATGTCTATTTCAATGTATTGGAATGTCTATTTGAATGCTCCACAACATTCATGTCAGAACATCCTCATATGCAGGCGATGAGCCACAATAACGTGGCTGAAGAATGTTGGCCAGACCACACACTAGAAGGTGAAGGGACGACGACGTTTCGGTTCGTCCTGGACCATTCTCAAGTCGATGGACTTGAGCATCAACTTGAGAATGGTCCAGGACGGACCGAAACGTCGTCGTCCCATCACCTTCTAGTGTGTGGTCTGATCAAACATCCTCATATGTTAACATACACGTGAAGAACCTCACACACACACACACACACACACACACACACACACACACACACACACACACACACTTGTTGAGCACCTGGAGAGCATTGGGTTTGTAAACAAGCACCAACATGGGTTCTGGACAGGGAAATCATGCCTAACAAACCTTTTAGAATTCTATGATAAAGTAACAAGGATAAGGCAGGACAGAGAAGGCTGGGCAGACTGCATATTTCTTGACTGCCAAAAGGCCTTTGATACAGTACCGCACATGAGACTGCTATACAAACTTGAGAGGCAGGCAGGAGTAAGCGGAAAGTCCCTAGTATGGGTGAAGAACTACCTAACAGGAAGGAGCCAGAGGGTAATGGTAAGGGGCGAAAAGTCGGACTGGCGAACAGTAACAAGTGGAGTACCTCAAGGATCGGTGCT